GAAAGAGGAAGCCTATATATGCACACACCTAGAAAGACAACATAGTATCAAGAGAGATGTGAATCATAAATCTGAGAACTTTCCACTTTTCTGTGATTTAAATCGAACGCTGACTCACAATGTTTTGAGGGGGCTCAGGCAGGTATGAAAATGAAGCCTCTGCTTCGTATCACTGTTGGCAATTCCTCTCTGTGCTGTTTGTGAGGCTCCAGCCCACTGCAAAACAGCCATACTTCATCCTGCAGACAGCTGCCAGCAGAGGTGGATGACAAGGCTTCCCTATCTATAATCTGAGCAAGCTTGAAGAGCACCTTGAGTTCTTGTACAATGAAAAGCTCCCCACAAATGAAACATTATTGATATAAATCATCAGAACACTGGCAATAGGAGTAAGCACAAAAGTAACTGTCAAATTATTTCCGTACTTCCGTTATACATAGCTTCCATCCTCTCTGCTGGTTTCACTTTGCAGGACAAATGACCCAGGACTTCCTCAGGTCAGCCGTCATTTCATATAAGGAGGGCATGCTACTAGTGATTTCTATGTAATTGTTATTGATCTTTTATTGCTTTGCACCAGTAACCTTCACTGGCAAAGCTGTAATAGGAATCTGGATCACTTATTGCCACATCTTTCTAAATGGGACATTGCTCAGCACTTCCGTGACTAAGTGGGAAGGTCAAGGCGCATTCGGTTCCCTCTCGAGTACACAACAGGAGCAAAGTCCATCCATCAAAGCACAAGGAGCATCTTCAGTATTTGCTGACTTAGACTGTATGTGTTTTCTATTAGGATAAAAAAAGGCTGGGACAAAAAAATACATTCTGAAGAAGGAATTAAGAGACTGCAAAGTAAGACTTTAGAAGATGAAGAAGACTCTCTGCTTTGAATGTAAACAGCTTCAGATGTGTTTGCAGGCAGTAAACATCTACCATGTAGAGAGAGGGCTTTTTCTGTGTAAATGTAACTCCAGGAACCTTTCCTCCAAATGCCTTTTAGACTGAATTCTCCTTTGCTAAGCTTGTAGGTGAGAAAGGAATGTAGAATATAGGGGGGTTTCCCCTTAAAGAATATGGACTTTGTGCTATCTCTATATATACACATATTTATATACTCATACATTTCATGTATTTAATGCTAATGGATGCCACCAGTTGCAACACTTTTGGCACAGGCAACTGTACCAAGCAGGCAAACAGCTTGAGCAAGTAATTCTCTGTACTCCCGTGTATGCACCCAGGGGGACAAACAAGCAAGGACCATTAACCTGCCCGTGCTCAGATTAATTCTGAAATCCTGTCCTCTACTTTCGGTAAGTGTAATAGGGGTGAACATGACCTCTGCTGCAATCACAGGGAGGGTTTAGGAGCTGTGGGTATAATACACGTGCTTGAAATTAATCAAGAAAGCGCAGCAGTGGGGGTAGCACTGCCCAACTGGATCCTGTCAGTCTTCATCAGGCTGGAGAGGAGCTCTTTAAAAGTGCAGCAAACAGGTCACATAATGTCAACCCTGAATAACCAGTGCTTTATTATGGGCATAAATACTTCTGGAAATAAGTGCTGTACACTTGCAGCTGCCTGGCCCTGTTTGTAACAGTAACCTCCAGCCACCACTGCCAAGTAGATGAAGCTTTGCTGGTGCTCGGCAGTCCAGCATGTCCCATGCAACACCCAGAAGAGAAAGGCAGGTCAGACTAACCTGCAGCTGTTGTCTCCAGCAGCATGGAAGGAGGTCTCGGCCCTGTGCAGGCCCAGGCGGGAGAAGGCGTGGTACATGGTGAGGGCAACGTCGCTCAGGCTGTGCACGCCGTCTGGCTCATCGTACACGTTCTCCCAGTAGGATCGGAGGCCAGGGGTGCCAGATGGGTAGTTGCCATACAAGTAGTAGTCCAACTGGCCAATTATCTCTTGATTCACTACAGCTTCAAATTTACGGGCAAAGAAAGTTGGTCTGGCAGTCTGCTGCAGTGACAAAAAGAAACAGGCACCAGAGTGAGTTCCCATTTCAGCCATGACATTTTGTCCTAAATAATCGGTTGGAGCTGAGGACATGAACTAGTTCTCCCCATGGGCAAAGAAGACTTAACAGGTCACCTCTGTGACCACTGGTTGTTAAAAGTGTTGTTAAGATTCAGATTAAAACTACATCATTACTCGAGAAAAAAACACATGTGAGCTAACTCCTTTGTACCAACAGCCCCACCCTGGCTGCCTTGCTCTAGAAGGCTCTCTGGTTCCAGAGGGGTGGGGATTGCTGCCTAACCCACCTCTGAGCCTGGGGATGGTGCAGCACTGGCACATGTCATTAGAGGTCAGGCAGGGAGCAACACACAGGGGCTCAGAGCCCCTGTAGAGCAGCATTTTGCATGTATGGATTTGCTGCTGCTAGGTCAAAGAGCACTCTGGGAGAGACACCATCTGTGGCTGAGGTTTCTCAGCTTCTTACTGGTCCTGTAGAGATTTTTTTTCTCTGCACTTGACACAATCTTGGGTGTATTACTGGTTTACATGCTACTCAACTACCATTAGCTTTTAAAAAGCCTTTGTTTTTCCTTGCCCAGATCTGAGCATGGGTTCTGAGTTGTCAGGGAGTTCAAAAGTGCCCCAGATGATTCTTTTGAGTATGCTCAATTTTACTCTGATACAGTGCATGCTGTGGGCGGTCTGATCTCCTCTGCAGCTTGCTTTGTGCCTCCATGAGAATCACAAGCAAGCCTTCTGGTGCTGTGTGTTCATCTGAGGGGCTCTCTCTTCAGGCAAGTGTCAGAAGTTGTCTCTACATGTATTCTAATTTTGAACTTTCCCTTGCAGCTCAGTTTACCTGATTGTTTTCTGAAATGTCTTTGTGCCTTGTTTTCCCAGTCTGGAGCAGGTCAGCCACTGCAGACTGGCAGGAATTTTTTAAGACTTGCCATTTATTCTGTGCTGGAGATTTTCCTGGGATTGATGTTTGGGGTAACAGAGCTTCCCTTAGACAAAGTGTCATCTGCTCTTTTTGTGAGTGCCAGTGTCATTGACTTCAACTGCATCTGGTAGGCAGCACATTACAATAAATAAAAGATCTCTGTTTCAGAGCAGTCATCATTTTTCTGCTGTAGGGTAAAACATTCTTCATCCCACACAAAGCCTGAACAAACATGCTTTATGCAGGGGACCCTGAGGAGCTGCAGGGATGGAACTGAAAATCTGGTGACCTTGAAAAAAGTGGTTGTTCATTTTTAATAGAAGATATACAGGCTAGATACAGTCTTGAGATAGAGTGCACCCTGAACACAAGGATTTGCTCTCATGTCTGCCTTGGGGAAGCAGGATCACAATGGAACTGATTAAACTTTTTAAGGCAGTCAGGCCAAGACTGGGTGATCAAAAACCTCATGACTCTGACCCTCCAAACTATGAGATAACCTTAAATATAATATTGTTGATGAATTTAATAATGAAAACTGATTTGTCTTGTGCTGTGTGAGCCTCTAGCAGGCACTCTAGTCAACTTGGAGCTTTTTTCAAAGACGAAAAACACTGCTTAACAATAAAATCCAGGAGCTTCATGAAATCATGAAAGGATGTGGAAAAAGCCCTTTGCAATAAATTCACAAGAGCTACCGAGTAATGTTGGCACAACAGATCTACCAATGTCAAGTAGTACAACCCAGTACTAAGTCTTAAGGACCAAAACATAGGTGAACTAATCTTTTATTTTCCTGAAATCAAGAGCAGAGCTTCTTCACACCTCACTTCTTTCTCCCCCTTGCTTGATCGGGTAAAGGCTTCCCCTTCCTACTCCCTGCTGCAGCCATGCAGCCAGATGCATCTCCACACCCCAGCAGAGCTGGGAAGAGCTTCTTTGCAGCTATCAGAGAGCACTTCAGTTACCTGGAATCGGTGGAAGTCTGTTGGTTTGAAGTCATTAGGTGAACAGCCACACCAGTCAACAATGTGCTTGTACTGACACTTGCAACCGAGTTTTCGGTTCCAGTTTGTGATGCGCAAGTTGTTGTCCACCATGGATTCACAGTAGGGGCTATTTTCCAGAACAGTGTGAAAGAAGGACTGCAAGAAAGAATGAGCCTATCAGTACATTATTGATGCTTTACCTCCTCAGACTTCCATTTTCTCCTTCACTTCAGCCCATGGACTAAAGCAGGTGACTTACTTTATTTTGAAATTACAGAATTAACAAACTCTATTGTTCTGCCACAAATTAAAAGCACTCTACATATATGCATTCCAGAGTATGAAAAGATCACAACACACTAGAGATCCAGCCAAACTGTAATAACATACAGTTGAGGCCTTGCTACAATAACCTGGCAGAGAATAATCGCAATGACCAGCTTTGGGCATTCGGAGTCCAAATGACTCCAGGAAAGGTATCAGTGCCAGCAGTTATTTTACTTTTATTTCAGCTGAATGAGCAATTCTAAGAAATTCCCATGATTTCTCTTCTGTAAGTTACTGTCTGCTCTAACAGACTTAAGACTGTTTTCCTGAGAAATGTGCTAATGACATACTTTAAGTTGTTTCCTAAGACAGTTCTCAAACCTTCACCATCACCCTGGTTACTATTAAAATAATACAGTTCCTTCTGTGAGTGTCTCTATCCCCAGCAATTTGAAATGCATTGCTAGTTGAATGGTCTTGTTCTGAAATTTTCTGAAAGTTCACCCCAGGCAGCAGAAGGACATTCTGCCTTCTGAAATCTTAAGTCTTTATTTACTGACTCAAGGCAGCAAGGAATTCCTATTGGGCTATCCTAATTATATCATCATCATATCAGCTATTACATAAATCATGTGTAATTGGGACTGATACAGCAGGTTAACAGGTGAGTAAAGGCAGGTTGATTTTAAGAAACCAACTATGTATCTTGCAAAGAAAACCTTGCAGAGAGAAGCTATACAGTAAGATCAAATTTAGCAAGAGATTTTTAGAGCAGTGACTTTTCTTTAAAATCAGCAATAGTAAGACCTATAAATAACCAGCATAACATTAGCATGGCTGCCTCCCAAATAATCCCCCTACCCTTTTTAATGTTAAATGACAGCCCAGTGAATATGGATTTTATGCTTGAACTGTTTGGTTAAACCCATAGAGGCATCCATTCTCATTCAAGTGAGAGGAAAAAAACCCCTACCCAATTACCCATTGCCCTGTGTCCTTTTATAATGATACAGAAATTTCTCCTAGATAATGGATGAAAAGGTTATCGGAGTTGAGAGAAAAGGAAATTTTTAACAGAAATGGGATTAAAGCAAGATTACTCAACATGTGTGTGGAATAATAGACCCCTATCAAAAGATGACAATCACTGCCTCCACCTCAAGCTAATAAGCCAAGATTTGCAAGGTTGGTCTCATCAATCCCTCAGAACATTCAGGGGCCTGGAACAAGGAAGCAAGTTATCATTTTACAGACAGTACTCAGGTCTTCCTTGGGATGTCTGCTGCTCCGGGAGCAGAACCAGACAAGCCAGGGGAGAGATGTGCCAGCTAGGGCAGGTGTAGCACAGCCTGAGCCCCACCAGGCTCCCTGCTCTGGAGGTGAGGCACATCTCCCTAGCACACTGCCACGTTCTAGATGAAAACCCGTCCTGGTGGGCACTGCCCTTCTGCATCACTTGTAGCCAGAGCAGTTCCTAACTAATCTAAATGGTTTGTGACTGTGCCTTCTAGCTGAGTTTTGAACTGAACAATAAACCTTTGTTTGTAGGGGTTTTATTTTTAAAGAAAAGGACTGGATCATAGGAGGGAAAGCTACTTATGAAGACAATTCGGCATCTCTAAGAGCCTTCAAAGGCTTTGTGGAGAAACAATTTGCAAGCAAAGGGCAGCTGGATTGTTGGTTGCTCAGTAATAGATTAATAGGCTTGAAAGTATAAAACAAAGCCACTCCTTGCAAAAAAGTCCCAGAAACAAAGCAACTAAACAACTGCAGAGGATGTTCCAACGCTAAAGGGCTTATTTGTCAAGGGAGTAAAATTCTCATTACCCACTGTGATATGATCCAAAGCCCACTGGACCCAGGCAAAAGCCCCTCTGACTTTGGTGATCTTTGGGACAAGCAAAAATGTTGCAGTTTTGAACAGAGAGGGATTGCTTTGAATTCATGTACCTCAGCAGG